ATCACTTAGACAGAAGTTCAAAATAATTTTCTTTTAGTACTCAAACTTTAATATTTCTGATTGGATTCTTAGATATATTTCCTTTTTTTTTTCCATCCATTTCGAGTAGAACAAACATCTCATATCTTCTCGCTTCTGGCTCCATCTATATTCGAGAGGTTGTTGAAAATGTTTAACTTTATTTTCAGTTTAAGGTCTACGTTTTTCTATTTTCAAGTGGTTCGTTATTTTTCCTTCAGTTTCTTAAAGCTAGAACTGATGTTTCATCATATTAGTAAAGTGTGCATCTTTATTTGTTGTTTTATTGTTAGTTACGAATGATAAGAAATCCTACGCAGATGTCAGATCCTACAGAATTGATCGCTTGATAACTTTAAGTAAAGTAAGACAATCTGTAGTTAAATGTTATGATTCCGGGAAGTATAATTTGAGTGACTTCTTTCTTTCCGACATCTAAATACATCCATTCAAAATTATATTTGCTCCTTGCGTAAAAATAGAAAAGCAAACTAAACCAAAATGCTGAATTCAAAACTGTATTTAGGGTATAATTTTTTTTCTCACCTGGATTTAAACATTGGAAGAAACATTGAGGTAGATAAAAATTGATATTTTTGCTGAGTTAGGGTTTTTATGATGTCTAATTCGAATCAATGTTATATTGGCTTGTGGTAAAATCTGGTTTAAATTTAAAGCTGTTTTTTATAGTCCGTGTTTTTATTACTTACATGGAATCTTGAAAAGGAAGAAGGGGAGATTTAAGATTCTACAATTACCCCTCCCAAATTCTATTCTCATAGCATAACATTTCTTTTTTTCAGAGAATTTGGATTTTCCTTATTTTATTCTTATCTATACGAGTTTATTAAAATTGTAAATATAAATTTTAAAAATATATTTTTAATACAATAAATATTACCATATACGGTAATAGAAGAAAAACTCGTTTTGAAACACAGATGTTTTGCTGATTCCATTTTGTTTGTTATATGCTATACAATAGTTAACATATACAGTGTAATCCGGATATAAGAGAGTTGTCGGGACCGGAGAAGAAGTCTCTTATATCCGGGTTTGGTCTATTTTATATACATTAACACAGGCTCTAATTTGGGACCAGAGAAAATGTCTCTTATATCAGGGTTTATCTTATATCCGGGTCTCTTATATCAGGGTCTCTTATATCCGGGTTACACTGAATTTTAAAAAGGGTTCTTTAGCTTTGTATTGGGTGAAACTAATACAGTGTAACCCGGATATAAGAGAGTTGTCGGGACCGGAGAAGTGTCTTATATCCGGGTTTCTCTTATATCCGGGTTTGGTCTATTTTGGTTAGGTAAGTTTAGGCTCTAATTTGGGACCAGACAAAATCTCTCTTATATCCGGGTCTCTCTTATATCCGGGTTTGGTCTATTTTGTTTAGGTAAGTTTAGGCTCTAATTTGGGACCAGACAAAATCTCTCTTATATCCGGGTCTCTCTTATATCCGGGTTTGGTCTATTTTGTTTAGGTAAGTTTAGGCTCTAATTTGGGACCAGAGAAAATCTCTCTTATATCCGGGTTTCTCTTATATCCGGGTTTCTCTTTTATCCGGGTTTGGTCTATTTTGTTTAGGTAAGTTTGGTCTATTTTGTTCTCTCTTATATCCGGGTTTCTCTTATATCCGGGTTTGGTCTATTTTGTTTAGGTAAGTTTAAGCTCTAATTTGGGACCAGAGAAAATCTCTCTCATATCCGGGTTTCTCTTATATCCGGGTTTGGTCTATTTTGTTTAGGTAAGTTTAAGCTCTAATTTGGGACCAGAGAAAATCTCTCTCATATCCGGGTTTCTCTTATATCCGGGTTTGGTCTATTTTGTTTAGGTAAGTTTAGGCTCTAATTTTGGGACCAGAGAAAAAGAAATTTATATCCGGGTTTCTCTTATATCCGGTTTCTCTTTTATCTCTTGGTCTATTTTGTTTAGGTAAGTTTAGGCTCTCTTTTGGGACCAGAGAAAATCTCTCTTATATCCGGGTTTCTCTTTTATCCGGGTTTGGTCTATTTTGTTTAGGTAAGTTTAGGCTCTAATTTTGGGACCAGAGAAAATCTCTCTTATATCCGGGTTTCTCTTATATCCGGGTTTGGTCTATTTTGGTTAGGTAAGTTTAGGCTCTAATTTGGGACCAGAGAAAATCTCTTTTATATCCGAGTTTCTCTTATATCCGGGTTTGGTCTATTTTGTTTAGGTAAGTTTAGGCTCTAATTTTGGGACCAGAGAAAATCTCTCTTATATCCGGGTTTCTCTTATATCCGGGTTTGGTCTATTTTGTTTAGGTAAGTTTAGGCTCTAATTTGGGACCAGAGAAAATCTCTTTTATATCCGAGTTTCTCTTATATCCGGGTTACACTGTTTTTTTAAAAAGGATTCTTTAGCTTTTTATTGGGTGAAACTTATATAAAGAATAATCCAGTGTTCCTTCTACTACAGAGGTGAAATAGAAACAAAAAGAAAGATAAAGAAACGGAGCGTTTATATTCAGCGGGATTATACGTTGTCTCCCTAGAAGTTTCTTTTACGTCATTTTCCACGATTTTGGATAAGAATGGCCGGTAAAAAAAAGTAGAACGTCAGCTGTTATTATAAGAACTTTTCTTTAGGAGTTGTTGAAAGTTCGAATTCCGTTCGAGATCTTTATATTCATTTTCGTAGAAATAATCTTGGGAAATGTGTGAATCCATTTCTTCTCCCCCCCCCCAACAGTCATAGATTAAATGACGTGTTCGGCGGAAGAGAGGCGTATTCAACATTTGATAATCTTGTGCCAATATGTGCTTAGAGGTTTTAGGCAGTTTTGATGAACATTCCATGGTTAGCCGTAAGGAATTGTCAATGTAGGACTACCTTACAATTAATTAAAATGCAGTGTAACCCGGATATAAGAGAGTTGTCGGGATCGGAGAAGAAGTATCTTATATCCGGGTTTCTCTTATATCCGGGTTTGGTCTATTATATATACATTAACACAGGCTCTAATTTGGGACCAGAGAAAATCTCTCTTATATCAGGGTTTCTCTTATATCCGGGTTCCTTATATCCGGGTTACACTGTAATAACAATAATATTTATTAAGAATTTATTACTGTAAATATCAAGTTTTACAGAAACATTGGCAATTATGTATTTAGTTACATAAATAAAAATATAAATTTTTTATGCAATATTCGATTTGTTGTTTGGTATTTTTCATTTTCTCCTTTGTTATTGGCAGCATTTTAAAATACTTTGGCTGCAATGCTAAGTTTCCCAAGTTGAACAAACTGGAGCTATTTCATATATGTTTCGTTACCTCTCTTTTCCATTGTTGTTTTTAGATCGCTTCCTTCCAGTCATTTTGATGAGCAACAGTGAAATTCTGAAATTTATAATGGTCTTATTCCATTTAAAAAATAAAACCTGTAAAAAGGAATCGTTTAAATTAATATATGGCCAAAAATAAAATGTTTTTTTACAAAAAACCTTAATGATTTCACTATATAATTATGTAAGAATAATGTAATGATATTCCGCATAAAAATCTACGGTTTATGCTACCTCATCTCATTGCATAGTTACCAACTATAAGCCTAAATTGTGCTTGGAATGTGCAGTCGGCGTATCATTGGTGAGGCATATACATGAATTGTAACTAAGGTGTGTTCAGCATAGTTGTATAAATCCCAGGTTGCCTCTGTGCTTTTTGGAGAAGCAGAAATGGGCTTGAACAGATTGGTTACAGGTTTCCGAACATGTCTTTCTGAAATGGAAAAAATCTCAACGATTTGTAGATAGCTTTGAACTGAGTGATTTTCCTTTTTTCAAAATAGCGTATCTATTTTATACTTTTTTGTTCAACGTGCCAGACAGGTGTTAAGAGAAGTCCTTTGGTAGACAAAGTGGAGTAATCCGACATTACCATATCTCTAAAATAAAAACACTTGTTTCCATCAAATTGAGCAAATACAATTTGATTTAAGTCAATTTTTGGACCGTGACGCATGAATGTCTGACAGCGAGCTCATCTTATAAATTTTGGTTAACAATTTTACTTCCATATCACCTGAATTCTCCAGCGAATAATGTTTATCAAATATTTCTGACAAACTAAGATTAACTTGTCTACAAGTCTATATTTAAAAAAAAACATCAGTTTTTCTTTCAAAAGAGAAATCCGATTATACAGACTGTAAATCTTTTCTCGTAGAAATACAAAAAAGCAGAAGGTTTCGATCTGAAACAGATAAACATTAACCATTAACCAATTGTCCATCAGTCCAATATTTATAGATTTCTTTTTTTATGTTCTGTATCACTTCATAACGTAGGAGATCCTGACTTTTTTTTTTCCTGGTAATATTTTGTTTTGTCAAAAATCTATTTCTGGTAATATTTTTTTTTCTCAAAATGTATAGCTGGTAATATTATTTTAAAACATGTATTGCTGGTAATATGTATATTTTTATTGCTGGTAATATTTTTTTCAAAAATATATTGCTGGTAAGTTTATTTTTCTTCGAAAATTTATTTCTGGTAATATTTTTTACGAAGTATTTCTGGTATTAAAACCTATTTTTACACTTTTATAATGCTTTTTACCTCAGTTTCGGGATTAACTATTTGCCCATACTTGGGACCCTAAAAGGTGCTACCACCCCGGGTCAGGGTGGACCTGGGAACACCAACAATTAAGAGGTGGTTCCACGTTCCTCAAAACCTCCTGATCAGAGGCCTTCCTATTGGATGTAGTTTATCGTCATACCCCGGACGGTCTTAGTAATATTTATCCCTTTACTCGTCGCTGTTCTGACATCCATCTACCCAAACATGTTACTTAAATTACCTGCTGTTTTCACTTCGCTCCCATTTTGCCTTCTGCTGTCCTGCGAATATCAAATTCACCAAGCCCTCTTTCCTCATTTATCCCAGAAATTTCAAATCACTTTCTCATTCTAGGCATAACAGTCCTTTTTGTTTTCATTTTATGACGGCTACAACACGTTGAAACACCGGTCCCAGTGCAGTCATGGAAGTTAAGCAACGTTGAACCTGGTTAGTACCTAGATGGGTGACCACTTGGGAATACCAGGATGTAATGGAATCGTTAATAGTAGAGCTGAGTTCCAATTCCCGTTGGATTCGTTATATTCACTTACGCGCAAATATCCTTGGGGAAAGGTATAAATCCACTTCTCCACCCCAGCTATAGGTTAATTAGTACGGCTTCTATCAGTGAAAGCATTGTTACCTTAAAAATCTTACAATGTAAAAATATTTTCTAAATTTAAATAACCTGCAAAGTGTCGATAAACCGTAAAAACAAATCAATCTTATGAAATTCATATATTAATTGTAGATTGGAATTATTGCTGATTTTTATTATTTTTAAAAAGTCACGCCTCTGATATGCCACTAATGTCTTACCATTATGTGGGAGCTATTTCTGCCATGTCCTGTATAATAAAAAGAATTTTCGATATAGGAAAACCAATTATTTAAACAGTGTATTCATTTATTTAAATGGCGTAAATAATCTTATTATTTAAACAGTGTATTCATTTATTTAAATGGCGTAAATAATCTTATTATTTTTTTAAATTTTTTTTATTTAAATATTGTAAATAATCATATTTAAACCCTTGGTTGGTTTATATTTGCACCTATAGGTAAACAATGGTCGGGATGCTGGTGGTGGTGTTTTTTTTAGACTTTTAGTGGGTGGAACACAAACAATTAAGAGGTGGTTCCACGTTCCTCAAAACCTCCTGATCAGAGGCCTTCCTATTGGATGTAGTTTATCGTCATACCCCGGACGGCCTTAGTAATATTTATCCCTTTACTCGTCGCTGTTCTGACATCCATCTACCCAAACATGTTACTTAAATTACCTCCCATATAACAGTAAGGTAATGTGATGTCTTACTGTTATATGGGAGGTAATTCTGTCGCAACTTGTGAATCTATTTTTTCTGTCTGAATTTCTGGGACGATTTTTATTTAAACTATTTATACTCGGACTATTGTCCTCATCTTCGTTGTTATCACGTTTCGGTCAGTGTGCACTCAGGTATAAATTGATCTGGGTAACCTACTCAGTGGAAACGGGTGAGCAGTAACTAAGCAGTACTATAATTAAGAACTAGGCGATATGCGATGGGCAGTGGAACGGGAACAGTCTACACCCGTAGATTAAATAAAGCGTTCAGCTCGGACAGAAACGTTGTTAAAGCCACAACAATCCTGAAGACAATAGTCTTAATATAAATAGTGTAAATAATCTTATTATTTAAACAGTGTATTCAGTTATTTAAATGGTTTAAAAAATCTTATTATTTAAACAGTGTATTCCTTTATTTAAATGGCGTAAATAATCTTATTATTTAAACAGTGTATTCAGTTATTTAAATGGCGTAAATAATCTTATTATTTAAACAGTGTATTCCTTTATTTAAATGGCGTAAATAATCTTATTATTTACACAGTGTATTTATTTATTTAAATATTGTAAATAATCCTATTTAAACACTTGGTTGGTTTATATTTGCATCTATAGGTAAACAATGGTCGGATGCTGGTGGTGGTGTTTTTTTTTTAGACTTTTAGTGGGTGGAACTGATGTATTGTTAGATCCACTGATGAATCAGACAGAGAAGTTTAAACAGGTTAAATTAACTCCGTACCTATTAACTACTATTTTAATTTAACCTGTTTACACTTCTCTGACACGTCGGTGTAGCTAAGAATAAATCCGGGTCTATTAACAACTATTTTATGTCGCTTGGATGGACAATTTGAACTTAAAAATACCCAGAATTAAAAGGTGGACCAATTGGACTACTTATATTTGTTGCGGCTTTCATCGGGGACCGGTTAAGTTGGCTCCGTGAAACGAATTTACCGCATCCCGAACCAAAGCTGACTAACCTCAGTGGACGGATGCAATTGAGTCAATAAGAAGTAACCAATCACGAGTGCCGAACACGCGTGGACCCAAGAACGGTTCGAGGTCGTCTATAACCGTCTTAAGTCACGTTTTAAGTTTTCTCCTACGCCGCTTCCGCCAACCTTGTTGGGGTGGTGTCCGAAGCAATCTAGAAATAGCCTATCCTATAAGTTAGACTATACGTGCTCACCAAATTTGCGTTAAAGTGTGCCGTTTGCGCTGGCTTACGATAGCAAACGAACAGCAGTCGAATCGTTAGAACAGACCTATCAGACAAAATGAATATTGATGTTGGACTTCATTATAACATAATGAATATTTATGGAAAGGTTTTCATATTAACGATTTAGTTTTGAAAAAGTCAGATAATGTTTTATTATGCGGGGCGGATTTAATCATCTATTTCTATTCACGCTAGAAGATTTCGTGAATGGACTGAGAAACAGATTTCTTTTTTTTCTTACTTTTGTTCGAATTAAAGAGAAGATGGCAATCAGATTACAAATGACATTTTACCGTTCACGCCACGAGCGATCGTCTGTTAGAAGAAAACAACGTTTGGGAATCGGACAAGAATAAAATTAAATTAAATGCTTTATTAAAAGTACAAAAAAAGCAATAACAGTTTGTTTATTTACTAAATACGGCAGTTCTCTAATTCTACCGAACTTCATTGCCATCTTTTGCTGCTGTGTTCTCTCTACAAGCTCCTAATCTTTGTAGCTCAAAGCGGAGTTATGTCCCTTTAATATCACTCCTTTCTTTGCCATCCATTTATACAAGCCGATTAGTTAAGTTACTCGCTGCTTCCCTTTGCTACTCTTGCCTTTACTACGTCCTGTGAGCGCCAAATTGTTCAAGCCCTCGTTCTTCAACGTGTCTCAGAAACTTGAGCTGCCTTTCCGATTCTAAGTACAAGTCTCTTTTGTTTTGATCCACGGGCAGATCGCTTTGAAACACCGGTTGCATTACGATCGCCAAAGTTAAGCAACATCGATACTGGTCAGTATCTAGATGGGTGACCGTTTGGAAATACCAGGTGCTGTAAGCTTGGATGTGCGTGTGGTGTAATGGATAATGCATTTGGAATTGTTATTCGGAGAGCCGAGTTCCAATTCTAGCCATGAATTAATTACTAGGACTTGTACCACTAAATCATTTTCGAAAAAAAAAAATTACAATCTAAAAATAATTTCTGACTTTAAATAACTTTCAAAGGGTTGATAAACCGTCAAAATTGAATCAATTAATTTTCCTTCTAACTTCATTGATCACATGTTCTATCCAAATTATTTTCAGTTCCCTTCTCCGGTGAATCACGTCTGTTGCTTCAAGTTTTCTCGAGTTATTAGAAAATTCTATTATAATAAATTCTAGAGAATGTTTGTTTTCTAAGAAAAAATTGCTGTTTGGCTTTTGGAAAACCTCCTTCGTCATTTCACTGCATCATCGGATTTCGGTGTCACAAATCTTTAGCACAATTAAAACAATTCGTTTTCAAAACTGCTCTCTATTAATCACCACAGAGATCCTTCCCTGCCCTCCATTAGAATGTCTGACGCTCAACTTCTCGAGAGCACCTCTCTGCGGCTGCTCGGTCTCACGTTGACAGCTGACCTGAGATGGAACAAATACATTGAGTCAATTGCTTCGTCCACCGCAAGGAAAGTTGGCTCCCTGTACCGCGCCAGGAAATTTTTCTCCCCGGAATCGATCCTCCAGATCTACAAATCAACAATTCGCCCTTGCATGGAGTATTGCTGCCATATATGGTCTGGAGCCCCTTCTATTTGCCTCGGGGTTCTTGATAGGCTCCAGAGGCGGATATGCAATATAATTGGCCCTGATCTGGCATCTCGTCTACAGTCACTTTCTCACAGACGCGCCGTCGCCTCTCTCTGTCTGTTTTACAAATACTTTCATGGCAATTGCTCCGAGGAGCTGCATTCGCTGGTTCCCAGACTTCATGAGTTCAAGCGCCCTACAAGGCTGGCATCCCGCTCTCACCCCTTCACTGTCGAAACTCCTAAATGTAACCGTCTCTTCTACTCCAATAGCTTCATGTCTCGCACCTCTCGCCTGTGGAACTCCCTTCCCTATTCCAGTTTCCCTGGGAGCTATAATCTCCAGCTATTCAAATGTAATGTCAATCGACATCTCCAGTTGCCTTGATCTATCCACTACCCTTCTCATCCTTTCTTCTATCACTCTTATCTGATCTTGCTCCAAATTTTCTGTAACACGTTGTGTCCTAGTGGCTTCCCGCCTTGCTTGGGGTGAAAAAAAAAAAAAAAAAAAGAAGACTGACTGACATCCGATACACAACTTGAAACCTCCTTCGTCAACAGAATAAGCTATCTTTTTTTTCACCTCTGAATTACGAGAAAATCACAAGTCCGTCGCCTGTTATAAAACTTCATAATACTTAAAAAATTGTACTTACTGGGTACTCCATATCGTAGATACACATATTCTGTCTTGTAACTGATACGACGGTTAATTAAAATTCTATTACATTTACTCAAAAACAACTAATTTTTGAAAATAAAAAATTCTTATTCATATTATTTACATTGTTACAATATTCACGACGTTTCGCCCGTTGTAAGTTCCAGCCTTCTTCAGGTAATTGAAATTTCGAACAAAACTCTTTATTTCACCCATAGTTTGTAGATTGTTATAGTTCCACGTCTCATACCCCTTCCGGATTTCTCAGTATCAGTTGTCTCCCTTTAACTCAACTCTCAAAGGTTTTTATTCACCACTACAACCCTTGGACACATATGTCCGAGTAGATAAAAGCGTTTGTTGAATCCAGTGTCTCGACAGAAAGAATTGCGAGTTCAATACCTGGCTAGAAAGAGGTGAACAAAAACTCGGAGTGTTGAGGAAGAGAGATAACTGATAATGAACGTAAGATTTCGAAGGAACCTCCAGTCAGTACCAGAAAGAGCAACAACGTCGAGTAAGATAAGCTTATTTTCTAGTTTAAATAAAAATGTTTTAATTTTCACTATTTGGTCAATGGATATCGAATGTTTCCTGTATGTAAACGGTTGTCGTCACCAATATTCTTTTAAAGCAAAGGACTTTTCAAACTATAACCTTTCCAAAGGATCTGCGTCTGTAGAGTGTACACAAATGTTTT